TCAACAACTTTATTTGTGATATTATTTCAAATAATGTGTTATTTCGTTCGATAATTACTTAGAATTTTTGAGATAATTATGAAATTCTTTTTGGAAGTTATATGGTGGTCTCATTAGTTTCAAATAAAATTTGCCCGATTGTTAACAACTATAAAAACTAGCCGCAAGGCTCAAATAATCCTATCTCCTCTTCCCAAATTATCAATTTTGAGCCAAGCTGAGCGTCAATTAGTATACTGTATACTGTATACTGTATATGATTAATTTCTTTCATATTTTATTTCAATGCGACACTTTTATTAACTATATAATTCAATAACGAATATGAAAGTATATATCCTTCTTAACCGTTTACGTCACGAAATAAGTATCTATGTAGCTGCTGCATCGTGTAACTGGTGCAAGCAATTTGTATTCTGCACAAAAATCCGCGGACAACTGTTACGAATAACCGAAAATTATTAAAAGTGACCGAAATGGAATTTTTATCATGAATATCGATCATTGGCGTCGAAAAGAAATTTCAGTTAATCGTAATTTGTTGTAACTTCTCTCGCGCAATTTGCGCGAAGTGTCTCCCACGTTCAGCTGTGACAAAGACCGCAGAAGTTTGTTTGTAATTTCGGTATTTGTTTCCGGATATAGTAAAGAAGTCTGCTGAAAATCAGTTGGGCGATATTCTTCTTACGCGAAACGCGTAAATAAAATACGCGGAGAAAAAACGGGAGAGTTGATGGCAGATATTTCACCCCGTTCGCTTTAATAATTTCCTGCCGCTCTGAAGTATTTTTCTCGCGCGGTAATAATTATGGCGAACTTTTCTCCGTCGAGAGACGCGGTCGTTCGCAGCGTGCAAACACAGGAATAAATGGACTGTTTATGTTAGTTAGGTATGTAAGCGAGAAGCGAACAGAAACACTCCTTAGCATTTTATTTTATAACGTTATTGTTCTGGAATGGAAATTGATATTGGATGGCCAGCAAGAGGATCATACCACCAGGGAACTCCAACGGAGACGACGTAAACTCGTGTACGAGTCGCATTTCAAATTACTGGATTATTGATATTGTTCGTAAGGTGAGGTTTGTAATGGTTTGTTAATAATAAAGTTACCACTGAGGTGAAATTAAGGAATACAGTAATGTCTCTCTAATTGACGCTCAGAGATCGTGCACAAAAATAGACAATTTTGGAAAAGGAGATACGATTGTTCCAGTCTTGCAGCTTGTTTTTATAGTTGTTGGCAATCGATAACCATAAGAAACAAGCCACAAGGCCCGAACAATCGTATCTTCTCTTTCAAAATTGTCCAATTTTTTGCACAATCCGAGCGTCAGTTAGGCGATATTATTAGAGCGTCATTATTGTATCTTGTTAAACGAACGGTGCTTTTAAGATTTACATATATTAAATTAAAAGCAATGATGAAACAATAACGATAACTCGTGAAATACAGTTTAGGTTATATTTGATTTGTTTTTCTCTCGGTCATATTTTTATTGGTAGAACATCTCGTTGTAGGATGATTGCGACATTCGAGGAGGCAGAGATTGTTTTTCCATGTAATGTCGATCTGGGTCGGAGCGCTAGCCATATTCTCGCAATATCAACAATGCTGTTGACAATGGTATCAGTAATGAACGGTCCACAGAGGGAATCAAAAACGTTCCATTTCGACGAGAAGAATTTAAACAATAAGCCTCGCGAAAAAGCTAGCCCCGCTGATGATGACCGTTCTCCGAAACTGATGGTTGCAGTTCCCTTTCGCTCACAACAATACAATCATTTCGAGGAGCGAAATGTTCGCTTGAAATTTAAAAAAAAAAAGAATAGCACACCAGCGGACAAAGGAACAAAAACAAGAAACGGTTTTCATGCTTGCCGATGAAAAAAATTCAACATTTTGTGTCATACATCGCGAGTACGATCGCGGAAGCGAAGAAGCGGCGACGCCTGACGCGGAGCGGAACGCGTTTCGCGGTTCAAAAAAGTGTTAAATCTCTTCGTCGCTCGTTTACGGGGAATATTTACGTGTGAAGTGATAAACAAGCGGCGCGGCCGGAGAATACATCGGGACGAGGTTCGAAAAAGGACGAAGAATAATTTGCGGCTTCGAGCTGGCCCTCACAAAGGCGTTTCGTATGAAAAAGCACGATACGTCGCCGGATAACGTACCCGTCGTTTGTACCTGTTGAAGCGAGCCTGTTCATCGTCGATGTTTCCAGGACGCGATCGCCAGCCATTCCCGTCGACTGAAACTTCGACTTCGACTTTATGCCTTCTGCGAAGATGTCATCGTCTCGACGCGATGCTGCGCGGAATCCAAATGGCGTCGCTGGCTTCACGGAACATTATGACGATCGAAAAGAAATTTCGACTCTTCAATCCTGATACCTCTATCCTCTCTATGATGCGATAAAATTCGTGCTGCTGAAAACTCTGTGTTTGTAGAAGAATCAGCAGAATCGCGACCGTATTGGTTATTTACAGCATAGCCAGTGAATTAATTTATTATTGTATGCAACAATTAGATTGTTCTTCCTTTGATTCGATCGTATCTTCCTGAAATTATAAGAGACCAGTTTATAACTTATTAATAACTTATTAATAACTAATTATTTATAACTTAAATAATTATATTAATAATTTAATGATAAAATTTTCGAAAATTTTAATTTATGTCTTAAAATGTAATCTATGTGTACATGTTAAAATGTTAAAAAAATAAATGAAGTAAATTATAAAGTTATTATCAATTAAATTAACTTTAAATTATCTTAACGATCAATTTGTTTCTTACGATGATGAAAATGTGTAAATGTGATAATATGAATCGGATAAATTTAAGATAACTAGTGTGAGAAAATCGAAATTTTTTATGTCGAAAATTTTATACATCGGATGTGGTATTTACAGCATTTATAACATTTGTTTAACACGTTTCTTTCATTAACACGATCTTTTCTACTTTCTTCGAGAAAGCTTTATTAAAGGCGACTATGTAATTTTGCAAATGTATTAATCGGATGATATGTTGTAAATAAAGTTGTAGTTACCAGATTAATCTGAAACGAGGAATGATCATATTGATGCTCGCAACTTGATAATTATAAGGTCAGTAATTACTTTCCCATTTAGTTAAATATCAACAACACGGTAATACTTTTATCATCGGATGGAACAGAATAATATGTTTATAAACATGATTTAGTATGTTCGTCCATATAGTTTACATTCATAAGAGCACGATCGGTTAAACAATCCTGCGAGACTCGTCTCTCCACGCGTGGCAGCTTATAAAATAACGAAATTCCCTAGAGTCATTCGCATCACACCAATATCCCATTAACTCGTAAAACTATAACGAGACGTATCAATTCGAGTCATCGTGCACGCCCGATGTGCAACAAGTGTATTTTGAAAACAATTCACTCGAATGGGTACTAATGAACAAATGACTGTTTTTGACGCTTCAGCGTGAGCAAACAATTTTCTGATCTCCGTGTACTGAATTAAATACTTCAGCGTTTTGCAACGAAGTATATTCGATGGCAGATAGCCTAGCACGAATTTACAATATTAATATTCCACAGAGTGCGTAAGCCGAACTCATTGTTGGTGGAATGGAAGGATGAAGTTGCGTAACAATATTAATGATTTTGAAAGACTAATTTTGTTCCTTCGTTTCAATACTATAATTTTACATTGCAATGCATAGATACTGACGAAGACAGCGATACAAACAAAATCCACTGAATTGTTTTTAAAGGTATGCAGTAATTTAGATTAATTATATACAAGGTGTCTCGATAGACATAGAAGAAAAGGAGTAAGTCAAAAATATAGGATACAACTTTTTCTACATAAAAAGTTCGTTTGCGAGTGAAAGGTGAAGTGGAAGTGGTAAGTCATGAACAGACATGTCTGTCGTTACCTATTCAATAGCTCCACGTGCCTTGAAACCTTGATCTATTCTTTTCTTGGAAACGGAGCCTCGAATAAAAATATTTTATTTACACTTTTTTTCATCTACTTCACACTTCCTTTATTTTCAGCTAGTACCTTATACTTTATACGAGCGAAATTGGATTATTTCTGTTTAGAAAGCTGATTAACAGTATATTTGTAATTGAGAACTCTTAGAAGGGTTCAGTGCTAATTGCAGGCAATAATTTTATCTTCAATCACAACAGATTATCGCTCTAACATAAACAAACGGCAGACGGCATCAAGTGTCAAACAGTCAAGGCAAGCCTCGAGCTCTGGGTCCGAAAATACCCAGGCGTGGTACGGCATGGGTTTACAGTATATTTATAATCCAAGACGCTAAAAAGGGTGCAATGCTAAGAAACGACTTTTTCTTAAATTACAACACAAATCAGACAGTTCTTCGATTTCTTCCTTAAATAAGAAATCCGTAATCGCTACCTTAATAATCATATATTGTTTTTATTTCTCATTCGGTCGTCCAAGGATGCCGACTTACCCCTTCCACGAACAAAAAGATGCTTTGGAATCGAGTAACGTCGGCGAGAATGACCCCAGCTCGATCCAGCCGCTAATCGTCGTTCCGGGCTAGGACCAACGAGCTCGCACATAAAACAAGCAATAAAACAAACGTTCACATCCATCGTCCTGTAGAAAGAAAAAGAAAGAACACAGAAAGAAAGAAAGAAAGAAAGAAAAAGTGAGAGTGGCTTAGGAGGAGGGTGCAGTGCGCGAAGAATAAGAAAAAAAAGAACGTCGAGGCGCGGAAGATGAAAAAAGAGAGGGGTAGTAGGGACACGAAAGAACAGAGGAAAAGATAAAAGGAGGGCAGTGGGGAGCGAGAGGGTGGCAGAGGGTAGGTGAAGGTGGGGTCTCACAGGCTTCTCGTCAAAAAAGATGAAGTCACCGTGGTTTTGGGGCGGCACAGAGAAGAGGGGTTGGGTGAGTTCTTTAAGGTAGGGGGCATGCGCGGCGTCCGGGGGTGTAGGACGGCGTCGGGGGTTAGTCGCTTGCCAACAACACGACGCGACGCTCGCGCATCGTGATCGCTCGCTCGCTCGGCTTACCTGCTGTGTATCGGTGCCCTCGTCTGCTCTCGGACTGGCTGCGTCCCGACGCTTTCGCGCATCCATCGACACGTCGAGTGCTCTCCTTACACAGTGAAGAGGTGTTTGAAAGCGAAACGAGGCGAACGCGCGCGCGATCCCGACCCGCCGCACCGTTGCGAAAGTTCTCCCGCACCGGGACCCATCGGGGCCTGCCGTGGGACGCAAAGTGCCGAAGAAACCGAAAAGAAAAGGAGCCTTCGATCCAGCCATCGAGCGGGACAACGCTCCGCTCGTGTCGGCCGCGTTTCGCGCGTCCGTAACAGTCCTCGATCATCGCGAATCGCGAGGACTCCCGCTGGACGTCCGGTTCGCCTCTCGAAGACACCACGGGGCTTATTCGCTAAGATGAGACCCCGACCGGATGCGTCGCGGAGCACCCCCGTCTTGGAACTCGGCAGCAAAACACAGGAACTGGCTGGTCTGTGAGCCGTCCACGCGATAGGAAGTACGCGCGTCGACCCTGACCAACACGCCGACGAGATCCTTCCATGGTGCAGATCGAAGCGATCGCTCGCGCGAACAAGGTGCGTGCGGCGGAGGGTGCTCGCGGTTGCTCGCGAGATCGCTTCGATCGCTGGGATCGCTTGGATCGCGGATCCAGCCGCGCCGTTGCTCGCCTCGCCGGCCCTCGCCTCCTCGGCGCGACACAACAGTGCTGTGATACTAGTGGACCGGAAGACGTCGCGAGAGTACTGCAACGTGTTACCGCCACTGCAGTGAACGACGCGAAAAAGTGCGCGTAACTTCGATCGGCCTCGCGTCGGACTGCGACCCGTTGCATTTTTGGATTCTTACGCGGAGGGCGTCCACGCAGGGACCAACCGAGAGGTAAGACCACCGTTTCCCACGATCGGTTCACGACCATGGAATTAGACCGAGCTCTGAACGCGGTCGAATGTAAACGGGCAGCTTTCGCGGAGCTCGAACGTTGAAACCCTTAAACCGCGGATTCTCTGCGAGCGGGTTCGACGTCTCTGCTGAGATCGACGTTTAATGAACATTCGAAGGTCCAGGTGGTCCATGTGGACGTTGAATGGAATATTTTTATCTTTCCTCGATAAATCAGTGTTGTTTACTTTTCTTAATATTCTACGGCTGTTTTTAACAGTTTACACTTGGTACAGTTTCCCAGGTTAATAAGCAACGCTTCGACTAAAATGCAAAATGATTGGAAGTAATTAGTGTATTTAAATTTATTCAAATACAGTATTACTATTTACGTTATTATTTAGGTTGTTATTTATACTACACTACGGGTTTCATGAGACAAAAGTTTGTAATTTTAGAAGAACTGTATCCATTTTGTAACTGTCTTCTTGTGTTAATGTATAAATTAACTGATAATATAATATATAATATAATAATAATAATTAATTAAAATAATGCCTGATTTCGTAGTGGCAATTGCACGAGAACTCAGAATAAAGGTCTCTATTAGCGTCTCGTCGAGATTTAGTTAACAGTTAACGGTGCAGCACGATTTTGTAAGCCGACCTAGAATAAAGTAAAAGGAAAGCTGATAGTTGTATGAAACTTATGGAAGCAATGTCTATGCCGCGTCATTCATTGTGACCTCTAACTGTTCCCATGGTTGTTGGAATAAAGGTCTATGTTATCTATATCCGAAGAATCTGCCTGTAGAGCATAATTTTAAACCCGCGATATGTTAGAATGTCGTCGATCGTAAACTATTCAGCTGAATCGTAACAAGTTCACCGGTTGTTTTCATATGATACATAGACGTCCTGATTTATATAGCAGCGAGAAACGTTAATACGAATATAACGTACTCGGTTTAATTGGACTCCATTTTAGCCGACTAACTAGAACGCAACACTTTTGGGATAGGCGTCGGATGAATCGAGTTGCATTACCATTTCAAAATCGACACGTCAGATGCAATCGAGCGGTAACAGGTGAAGAAGATCGATCGGTGGTTCGAATTGAAACGCATCGATATAATTTACACATTGATTATCCTGCGAGCGGACAGGAATTAATCTGATAATGAGAGGTCTTATCCAACTGGGATTTAAATCGTGCCCCTGATACGCGCGATGTAGTACAACGCTGATACACAAAACTGTGCGTTACACAATTCTGCATTCGCTGCAAAATGTGTACCACATATCTATATATACATGTACGTACATTTATATACCGTAATTATTTCTACACGATTCTAATGCGCTTGAATGCATTACGTAATTCGGGCATACATTGGCACTAATTACGAAACTTTGCTCGCGCGTTTAACAATGAAATCGCTTTATTAGCACCTATAGCGACCGTAGGGGGCGAGATATCGGCGTAAGGGTGAGAGGTTCGAATTCTGCAATTTCGTTTCGGTGCTATGCCCTGGATTTCTGTTACGAAACTGCACAATTTTACATCTATTATCCTGCATTTTCCTGCTTTTCGCGCACCGAGCGGATCGAATGAATCGCGCGTAATTTCTTACGAAAATCGAGGAAATAATTTCGCGAAAAATTACTTTCACGATTTACGGTAACCGCGAAACGAAAAAGTTCATTTGTGATGTAGTAACTATTTCGAAATTATGGAAGCTGGCATGAAACGATTTATTCTCGTCGCTATAGACATCGTTCGTTCCGAAATCGCAACTGGACTGTCATGAAAACTTTAGAGACTATAAACACGAGCGGGACGCAAGTTATAACGGAGTCGCCGTGCGAATTTTCTTGCCGAATAAGCAATCCAGGCCCGGTTGCTGAATAAGCTAGACTTTCGGAAATTTATGTAGATACACACTTGAGAGAGGATTTCTCTGATGACGGAATTGAATTGCCTGGAGCTTTTCGCTGCGGGCCACATGGGACTGAAAAATAAACTGCGCTCTATCGAGCGGCAGCGAACTTACGGGAAAAAAATATTTTACTCCTCACCGACCGTGTTGATACACATATACACGCATACGCGCATATATATATATACGTATATGTATTTCCATTACATTTGTGTTCCTCCCGTATTTGCGTTTCCTCTCAATTTTTTTTTTTTTTTTTTGTTAAACAGAAATAATAATGACAGCGTTGCGCATCGCGTCGCGTCCCCGTCAGTCGAAATACAGAAAATTAACAACGTATATGCAGGAGATAATTGCATTTCGTTTTTTTGTTCGCATGTTAACGTCAGCGCCTCCCGTGCGATTCTCTTTCTCGACTATATTAAACGCAGCATTTATTACAAAAGGCATTCGGGTTTGACACGGCTATGCTGCGTTTGGTGTGCTGTCAATTCGATTCGATTGGAACGAAACTCGTTTTTAGAAACGCGTAAATAATAACTGAATAACTAAATAAGAGTAAAATTTCTGTATCCCAAGATTAAAATGACTAAAATTCGTGGGTTTGATGATATAGAGGATCTCGGGGTTTTGATTTCGAAATTAGGGTGATTACAATCATTTTGTGGAAATTAGCGAATAAGATTATGTATTAACAATAAATTTATCATCGCCGGTCAAGGGATCGGTTTCACATTTTTTATTTCATAATTATTGCACATCAGACACACAATCAGGCACACACTATTGTAAAAATTGTGAAAAATTTGAATAAATTCTGTCTTGTAACTCTTATGAATTATTATTATTATTTGTTAGTCATTTTTAGATCTCGGTAGGTTTATTGTTAAGACAACTCTTAAGATATTTGCATCGCAGTCGTAACGCAAATGAGAGAATTCATTATGGTAGCAATGATACTATTATAATTGCGAAACTGAATTTCGTGTTTGAAGAGAGGCAAAGTGAAAGGGTTCCCGATATTCAGCTATTTGAAAATCATTTATGTCGATTCAATAAAATAATAAATGCATTGTGCCACTCAAAATGTATTCGCCCTATAAATACGCTTTTCGCATCTGGCAATGGACCTGTGCGTCATTCACGTACGCGTTGCACAGTAAACGTTCAATTGTACCTAAATCTCTCAAATTTTTCAAAGCGCCGAGTTGTTCGTGAAAACCCTTTGATGTGTTTGAATTTTATTATATACGTCATGGGGGAATCGATAAAAACAAAAAGGTATACGTATAATGAAAAAGAGGAGTGAAAAGAAGACTGAAACAATAAACTTGAATCAATTGTTGGAACTTGTGATTCATTGAACCATGAAATTGAAACTGACGGGCGATCTACATTTATTATCAAAAAAGGTTGTAAACAAATAACCAATTGGACATCATTATTTTTTCCTTAACCCCTGGCACTCGATATACGTGTTATTTGCGGCAAATATAACAATAACACTCGTTAAAAATCAGTATACATGTCGTATTGTTCCTTTCATAAATTCATATAAAACAACTGCTTTTAATGCTCCGTAAATCTAGTGTTAAGTGATCAAGAATTTAGTTGGTTAATGCCAGATGTCAGAGCAATAATTCAATTGTATCAGTCATAAATCGTTTGTAGATGTTTCGAGACATTTTAAACATTTGACAAAGCTCAACTGAGCGAGTATATATGTTACCGTGAATGACCGAAATTGGAGAATGTCTACTTTCACCGGTGAATGTCAACAGATACCAAATACGTCGGTGAAAGATCGAATATTTCATTACATTTTTGTACATTCGGACCCTCTTCGGTGTGTGTCGACAATCACAGATATGCTCTGGTGGAGGTCCAAAACCTGTCATTGCAAAAGGAAGTGTTCCACAAATAAATGCAGTTGTAAAAGCAAGGGACTCTTGTGCAATTCAAAGTGTCATAATAGTTTAAGTTGTTGCAATAAATAAGATTTGAATCACATAAGTAAGTAATTTTTTTATTACCATTATTTTCTTTTCTCATGTAGAATGTACCGTGTATTTTAAATTCTTGGTCATTCCTTTCAGAAAGAGAGGCGAAAAAGTTACGTCACCCTTGTGGCGTTTTATAGCGACTGAATTACGGAGAAGAAAATATAAATCTCCAACATGTTCAACATTCACCATTGGTGCATGGTGAATGTCAACATTTACCGGTGTAAGTCAGAAATAAGAGTATTTAGCAAATATTTCGGACATACACCAAGCGACTATGTGAATGTTGACATTCGCCGGTGAAAGTCGACATTCTCCAGATTTCGGTGTTTCACTGTAACATATATATATATATATATATATACATACATATAGCACGCTCTAAAACTAAAAGGAAAATTCAAGTATCCGTAGGAAATAGCATTAGCATTTGCGTGAGCTACATAACCCAGGGATGTCAAAGCGACAACTAAATTGTCGGCCGTGAAAACGGCGTCGACACCGACACCGCAATATTTCGTGTCGAGTTTCGCGGCTACTATGTCGCGATGTGCTTTTCGTATCGATCGATTTTACCTCCTACTCGATAAATACCGTAATCTCGAAATGTGCCGGCACAATTACCGTGAAACTGTGGGAGGGACGAACACTGGCCTGTGTAATTTCGTACGGATCGTTCTCGTAATTCTTCCTTCGTGCGTGACACGGCGCCACGTCATGGAGGTGGGGTTTGAAACAATTGTAGAAGCCCTTTTTATTTCGAGGGAGAAGTTTCGTTCGCCCGCGTCGAAAAACCGAGCAACCGCCTGGCAATTCACCGAACGTTTTATTTCAAACGCTTAAAATTTAACTGTCGCACGAAAGTACCGGCATTATCTATTGCGAAATGTCAATTCTTCAAGAGGTATTTTTAGCATGTTTGTTGCCAAATTGAAAGCTATAAAAAATCACCAAGATCGGAGCAATTTATTGAATAATATAATATAATAATAATATAATAGATATAATAATATAATAATAATATGATAAATATAATAATATAATAATAATATGATAGA